ACTGCTTCCGTTGGGGTGTTGGAGCGTCGGGCTTGGCCACGCTTCGATTCCTAACTTCGTGACTGGGGCAGGTGGAGCTGTATCTTGACCATCCTTTGTTCTGTTGCAACCACCGTGTGCCTTTGAGCTACTTGGACCCACGAAGTTCCCATTGCGCTAATGTAAAAAGATGGAGGCCGTGTGCGAGTGTTGTGCAACATGTTATCCTTGAGTTGATTGACGTGACTGATGAAGGGAATAAATTTGAATATACTTATTGGTGGATTTGAACATCTTGATTGCCAAAATGTGTTTCAGTGATGACTTGAAATAAAGTGGCTCAACTGGACCGCCATCCACACACATGTCGGTGGATGATGTTGCTGCCGGTGTTCCTGAGGCAGCAAACCCCTTTACCATGGCAGGTCCAGCGGCGTTCCCCTGTCCATCGTGCCAGGCGGAGTGTTTTGTGGTGCAGCATCACTGTCTTCGCTGCCGTCACCGATTTTCTGAGGCACGTGGTGAGGACCGTCGATTCATCCAGGCTGCTCAGCGCCGGAACAGAATCCTGGATCGCCTGGCGACGGTTGGAGTGACTGTGCGCAACATTAGCCCATACAAGCTCCAGAAGTTGGCAAGCACAGCAAGGACGAAGAGCGTGGGCAAATTAGCTACGAGGCCCGCACCATCCGCAATGCGAAGGACAAGGCGCAGCGAGCTCTCAAAATCAAAGGCACCAACTACAGGGACTTGGCGGACCGTTTTGACAAAGATCCAACCTTTGCGGCCCGGCAAGCGGAGCATGGCCTGACACGCATGGACATGCGTCGGCTCCAGGCCTATGCCACAGGCTTTTTGCCAGCACCAGGCCGCATACGCCAGCAAGTCATCCTCGGGACTTGAAGCCAGGCGAATTTCCGGGCCTCCAAGTCCGAAGTCAATGCCAAGCTTGTCATCTATGATGGCGTTGGCATCGAGGAGCTGCAGGCATTGGGACTGGCTGATCAGCAGATGCGCGTGAACATGGGCGTGGGCTGGCATGGCCCATGGCACCTTCATGGATGTTTCCACGTTTGCAGGGTTGGCCCTCGGCAACGAGGATGCCCGAAAGGTTCTCACCTTTAATGGACTCGTGAACCTGCAGGCCACAACCTTCGACTCGCTCAAGGAGGAGATAAATGAGCTGATTGTGGGCAGCCATGAGGCGGCCAAGGCTAAGGTCAGGTCCGACCAGCCGGCACGTGCCAAGCAGTCTGCGATTTCCAAGGCTAAGTCTAAGGCTAGCCCATCCACTGTCCGTCCGCAGTGGTCTGAAGAAGACTGGAACAAGTGGAATTACGGAGGCTATCACGGCCGCACATGGTGCTCGGCCGCCGAATGGCGCCGGTACTGGGGCCATTAAATGCGTAGCATGACGCAGTGAGTGACCATGTATGATGATTTCAGCTTGCTACACTCGCCAGCACAGCACACCTGAAGCTACCCGCAAGGGTATGCCCATTTCTTTTGAGTGCTAGTGTGCGCC